GGATGCTCGATAGTGGAGCGCATAGTGGTGATCTCATGTACATCGCCTCCATTTGTGTAATGGATGTATCCTGCAGCCGCATTGAATGACGGTGCCGCGTCGAATGAATGACACCGTTATGTGTGTCCGAAATATGCATTGCGCATGCCCCGCATGCAACTGGCTTTGTTAGTCCCAGTCTCGACACCAGTGGCCGAACGTGGCAGCTCGAACCTTCCCAAACTCCAGAGACATGATCGCTGCCTGTGATCTGTGTGGCCAGGGCTGCGCGCTCCTTCTGCATGCCTTAGATATCTTGCTGGTGAATCGAAAAGCATAACGTCGACACTGAGAATCCAGGAACAACATTTCACGTAGGATCCTTGCAAGGGAGCAAGGATGACATATAGCCCCCCCACCCATTCCCCTCCCCTCCCTCTTGATGAGCAGCGCAATGAAATGCACGTCATTTGCTCTCTGTACAGAGAGACATGTCGTCAAAGATCCCCAGCAGCCGGCTGCACCAACGACGGATAGCACATCTAGAGGTTTTCAACTGTATTGCAGCAGGGTCCCATCAAGCAGCTGTTGACAACAGTCCAGAGAAATTCTGTTTCGGTTGGAAAATCTAGTGACTTGCATCTGCCCGCTGTTTTCTCCGCAGCCCTGCAATCCGCCAACTTATGTACACCATGGGCGCGCCTCTAGAACGTGCTGTGCTGAAGTGCGTCCGCTGGTCCCATCAACGTCATGTCGTACTCGCAGCAACCAACGTGTCATACATGCAGCAAATCCAACATCGGGGTGCATCGTTATACTGAGGTCGTATGTCGTGTTCGTAACAGTGCATCATCTGCCACCCTATGCTAGATGTGATCAAGGCGTGTTCTGTGTTAGGAACACTTTGCCGAAAATTGATCGAACAGTAACTGGAAGACACGGAAAGTACTTTTAGTGACCCTTAAAGACTTTTCCCTGAGGAAAAGTCCCAAACGCAGGCGACATGGCAACGCCCATAATGTTCCTCCATGTTCTCATTTAACTTTGGCACGAGTTGGCGCCCCCAGTGGTGCAACTGCTCATTGCACCGCTTGGCACACTGACGAAGTTATGTTGCACTTAACTGATGCGGTGTTGCTCCAAGCAGCGAGCCTCATTAAGTACCGGAAATGAAAATGCCAATAAAAGAAAATAGACATGTGTGTGAGCACAGCGGTACCCATTGTGAACACAGTCTCCAAAGCTAGATGAACCCTGCAATGGCAACTGCTTTGGGCACTTAATGAACAACTGAGCTCAGGAATATGTGGTTGGCTTTTAGATTACCCGGGGCGTCTGGCCTGGCCACTCGGCTATTTTCACGCAGCTCATCTACAGATGCTCTTTTGTGCGCGAGTGGATTCTTGAACAACAAGAATAGAAGTATCACTGCATGGTCGACAGTATGCCCGAAGGGCGTACTGCAGGGAAAAAGTGGCAGCGCAGGAACAGATGCGGCTAGACATTGCCACGGTTTACCCCTGCCTGTATGCAGTCGCTGCGAACATACACTGTGCAGCTGCATTGGTAGCTCAAAATCACGTTCGCGAATATCTCACAAAAACAAGTGGAGAGTGTTGAATCCTGCCAAGTTGCCCAGACAGTTCGAAAGGCTGGTGTCGGGCTGGAAGATGGAAGTGCTGATGGCGAAATATCGGTGGAGTCGGCGCAGCAAAAGGGATTGAAACAGTTTGGAAATTTGCTCCTGCCGAAATTAGTTTTGTGCTCGCGGGCACTGTATATCAGCAAACTCATATGGCAGAACTTTCTGGCCCTGGCGGGCGCCATCAAACCCTCTGGTGGCATGCGCCACAGTTCCGCCACTTTCGAACCGCATGTGTTGATGAGGATCGCCGGTGGAGGCTCCAAAACGTGTGCGGTCATGAAACACCTCAAGACCCCAGCTGCCCTGCGGCAATGGCTCCCGGTATGGCCCATTAGAGTGCAGGGCGGGGTTGGGTGAGCGAGCGTGACGCTGCTGTGCTGAAAGTGAAGTGTGGCGGGGTTTGTTGCACAAAGGGAAGGAACATGCAGATGCGCGCACTTTCAAAGGGAGATGTCCTTGGACCATTGTGGGGACCCAACTGTTCGTGCGACACCCCAGCGCCATGGACCATTTTTGTGGTGGCGCTCGTTTCAGAAGAACGTGCCGTGAAGGTGCTTGCTTCAGGTCACCGTCCTTCTGTTGTGAACTGCTTTGTTCGTTTCGTTTGGGTTCAACGAAGCACTGCAGGGGATGCCTTTCCTGCAGAGTCAGGGCGGGTTGCTCGCCCCGGCGGTCGTTGGAATCCGCGTGGAGGACGGTCCAACAGAGCTAAAGGAACTCGGTGCAGGCCCCGGGTGCCTCTGCAGCGTCGCGGCAAAGGATGTGCGATGGTGATCCTGGACCTGATTCGATGCGGGTCGCTGCTTTCATTGCCACACTTTCGTCCGTGGCAGCGCGATGGCCAAAAGACCAACAATTTGATTTCACCGATACATGCATCGCGCACTATTAGAAAAAAGACCGTGTTCACGATGCCAGCTGCAACAGCATTCTGGAAATAGCTGACGCCATAGCAACGACTGTCATGGCATAAAGGTGTCTACGATGGCGCCGTCGGCGTCAACGATGACATCGCGGTTGGCATTGCAAAATATCGCTTTCTGTTGGCGGCCCGCGCGGGCTTTGCCACGGCGTTCGAAGATGACTAATGTTCTGAAAATTGGACCGCTGCTGCGCCATGGCCGCTGATGGCATTCATTTTTAGTCATCTTCGAACGCCCCAATTTCTGCGTCCACCGCGCTAGAAAGCGTATAAAAATACAATACAACAAGCCCCTTGCAATCACTTCCAGTACAGTTTGCAACCCCCCCAACCCACACACAGCCTTGCAGCAAAATTCACACATTCATGTCTGCCCTTGCGCCAGCCACGCCACGACCGCCACGGCCACTTGGCCACACGGCGGTCTACAGGTTCTCGGGCGAAGTCAGCTGATCGGTCAAACTCGTCATTCGTTGGATGGGCCGCTTTGAAAGGCACCCAGTTCCGCACACTTCATTCGTGGTGAAAATCAACCATCTGTCGCCCAGCCTCCGGGCTCTTGCGTTCCAGTACATAAGACACGCAAACAGTCGGCCATTCATAATGTACTGCGTTCAAGCTCGCTGAGCCCGTGGAAGACGCCAAAAAGTGCGGCGTCAGCACTGTGCACTGTCTGGCGATCCTTTTCCAGCAACGGGCGTGGAGGCCCGAAGATGCAGTGAAGCCCATGAAAGGCGGCCAGGAAACCGCCGGGAAGCACGAAGGAAGCAGCTCAGAAACTCGCCTGGAGCGAGTCCTCAACTCGATCTGCAGGCATACAGGCACGTCAGCAGCCGTTGGCTGCCCTGTTTTGAAACTCAGGTGACGTGGGAAAGAACTGGCCTCAAGGCCCGGCCTGCACAGCAATGGCCACAAGTGTGACCACGTTCGTGAAGCCGCGACCTCCAACGATGTCGTTAGCGAAAGTTTGACATCTTTCATGGACATTCTCGACAATGTGACAGATCACGCCCCCCCCCCCCCACCCCCACCCCCACCCCCACCAATCCCACACACACACACGACACAATGAACACGTGAATGGGTGTAAGCACTTCAGCTCACTTGTGCAGCATATGTACAGCTGTTGTACACTGTCCAAATGTGGACAGCGACATGGTGGTCACAGCAAGTAGGCGCAAGCGTGCGACCAATTGCACCCTCAAGCATCACAATTCCGAAACAATGGTGATAATGCAGTCTCTCCCACAGTTTGCAGAACATGGCAATCAGCAAGAAGTGGGCAAGCAATGGCTGCTTTTTGGCAAGTTCAAGTTGTCAGGCAGAGCACCAGAGCATGGAACAGGAGCAGATCTAGGATTGTGTCTCTTAAACGAACATTGCTTGGTACCTGCTAGTGCTTGATGGCATTGGCAGCGGGACAGCAAAGTCCCAATTGGACAAGTACAGCACAAAACAGACATAGTTCAAATGTCAAGAAAAACACAATGACAGGTGATCGTGACATGAATGCCCTCGGGAATGCAATCAGCGAGACACGAGTGGTACAATCAATTGAACATTCAACTGCCAACCTGAGTGCAGCACAAACCTCAATATGTTTGCACAAAATGTTTGAATAGGTGCATAACAAAATGAAGAGGGATCAAGCCATTCATGCTGGAAGACCCATCCATCGGAGATAAAATTGACCACTGGAATGGAAATGGGATGGCCACCAACAACAAAGCAGTATTGACCCCAGGAAGTTTATGCCATATCTTCTAACAATAATCATACACTTCAGCAGTTGCTACTAGTAAAACGTGGTACATTTCACATGCGCGGTGCCTGAAAAGGCTTTAGTTTCCATGAGGCAAGTACATGGCCAGCCTCATGTGCAAAAGCCAGAATGCTTGAGAAGCAGGCACAAGCGGATGTGGTCCATGCAGAATATCGCTTATTGGCTGCAAGGGCAGCATTCCGTCACAGTTTCAACAATCGTCATTTGTGCAGGACTTTGATGCCCACACCCGATGCCCAAAGCACGAACACCAGCAGACTCCCGACTGGGCATGGAACAATTCGTGCCGCATGCCAACATGCTCCAGGACACCCACCACCAGTAGGAATGATGAGTCTTGCTCAACTTCTTGCCACATCAGAATCGCACCAGACAGTCCGCAAACAAATCCCGACTAAATTTTACCATCCATCTAAAAAAAATTCATCAACTGTGCGCCTGTACACATTTTTGTGCCCCTCTGTCACCAACAGAAAGCAGCGTGCTGCAAGGCCAACTGCAACACCATTGTTGACATCTGTGATGCCATCGCAGACTGTTTTATACCATCGCAATCATTGCTGTGACGTCAATAAGCGCCAAAATGGTATTGCAGTTGGCATCACAAAAATGGTGTTTTCTACTAGTGTGTGTGTACCCACGCCCACCCCCACCCCCACCTCTCACCTTGCTCACAGCCGTGTCCTTGCAATGAACTCCTCTTCGGCCATGTAGTCGCTGTCATCGGATGACGACGAGTCGTCACAGTCCTTCGGTATGGAGCTGTACACGATGCGGGTCCCAAGGTCCCTTGTCGGCCTGTTGTTGGCCAGGTTGCCGACGCACTGGCACACGTCGCCAGCCTCGCTCTGGAACAGGCAGTACCTGTTGTTCTCGCCAAAGTTCGTTGTGAGCTGCTGGATCTGTTTGCCACAGCAGCCAGCAGACCCACTCAGAGCACATCGCCAGCAGAGGAAACAAATTTGGCAACATAAACTGCGATGCCATTTTGACCCATTGATGCCATCACACTTGCTTTGACACTGGCGCAATCACTGTGATGGACCACTTGATGTGAATTGGCTTTATTGTGGCGGGCATCGCCATAATGGCGTTCTCTACCAGTCCTGTGACTTGCAATGTAGGCATCCTTCGGGTTCAGGCGGGTGCATGTGCCAGTACTTGGTGCTGCAATGTCAATACTTGGCGACATGAGTTGGTGTTTAGGCGGGCCAGTACTTAGCACCACAAGTTGGCCCTTGGGGTTGTGCCAGAATGTGTCCAATGTGCAGCTCTGGCAACAACAACTGGCCAAACTTGACCAGGAAGCTAATAATGCAGTTCAAATACTGGTACTCCAGCTACCATGTCAATACTGATAGGATACTGGTTGTATTGTACTTCTCTTTAACTCAAGGCAAGAAGCCGGATGCCTTGTCAACTGAATAAAAAGGAGGAAAACAAGGAAAGGAGGAAAACAAGGAAAGGAGGAGAACAGACGATGGGGGCTGACAACTCGCCTGGTCCGGAGTCACTCCCTGAATTTCCTGGAAGACGATCCATGTGACGATCTCGTCACAAGGTGGGGTGGTGAGGCTGCCATCCCAGTAGTAGAAATCCATGCTGTTGGGTACCATGTCTGACAGGCTAAGTGTCCCAAGATGCTTCTGCAATGTGGAAACCCACAAATACATGAGATTTCTTCTTAACCCAGAGGCAACATGCCACACCATGGGAAGCCTGTTCTGAGGAATGCGCTCTAGCCAGCCTCGTGCAGAGAATCCAGTTCCTGATAAATAGTGCAAGAGCCCTGCTTGTCATGGTTTCTTGGCAAATATAGTCCAGGAACTTGTGTGTAAAGAACTACTCGATAACAGAAGCAAAAATGGACAAATATGACACACTCCAGGCTGCAGATGCCACTCTGGACACTGAGCGCTACTCATGGGTTTGTGCATGCTGCTCTTAGGGCTGAATGCATTTACCGTATAGCTGTAACATCATGACCATTAAGGGATTGACAATCTCCCTGTACCTGCAGAGTGAACCAAAGCAAAATGTAATGTTCGCGACACCGAATATGATGACATACTGCCACTGTTGCTTGGATGCAGTGTTCACAAGCGGTAATACAAAACACTGTCTGGAGATGATTGTAAATGAATGAAGTGCTATGTTGCATTCATGGAAGCCACATCCTCTGGTCACCCTTCTTGGGATCTCATGCGCTTTGGTGTCAACCAGTGGGTGTTGCCTTGTCACATTGTGCCAGCCACATCTGTGAATGAAATGGATGCGTGCACTGTTTCACCCATGTTTTAGTGCAGTTAGGTACAACAGCAACACTGTGTCGCCACATGATACAGGCCAGTCATCATCAATTCTGCGACTTTTGCCAAGCATTGCGAGGTCACAGAAGGCCAGCAGCAAGCTGAAACTTCCCTATTATCGCATCACTCCAGATATGTGCCATGACCACTATGATATTTTCACAGTGCCTGCAGGGACATGCTTCTTCAGTGAACCCATTTCTGTGCTCCTTCCGGCCCTTGCCTGCTTTGTTGCAAGTTCAATCGGTGCACAATACTTGCAACCATCTGTTCAATCCTTCCAAATTGCTTTGCCTCAATTTGCCTCTAAAAGGCGGAATTCCTGCTTGCCTCACCTTGACGGCATCCCCATGGATGGTCGTCCCATTCACATCTGTGACCGCCCAATTCCCATATGTCTCCTGGTCGATGCCCTCGATCCCGAGGGACACGTCCTCGTCAAAGATGTGCGCCACAAAGTCGTTCTTGAACTCATCATAGTCGAACAGCGTTGCAAACACCACCAGGCACGATATCTTTGACCCATCTTCTGCGTAGCCACAATCTGCATCGTCCGGATCGATCGATGCCACCAGGTGCACCTCCAGCGGGAAGTGCTTGCCTACAGGGAAAGGTGCAAGATTTCGACAAAACTCTCAGTTACATTGAATGAGAAATCGGTCATGCGTTGACAGTGTATGACAATGGACAGCGTTGGAATCGTACTCAGTAGTTTACAGTAGTTCCTTGTACAACTCTTTGTCTGAAAAGACACCACTTCTTGAGCAGAGGGAGGGGCAGGAGGGAGTCAGCATTTTGCTGCCAGCACTGCTGCCAAGTAGAGTTGGAATCGCACCATCGAGCAAAGCTGCCAGAAAGGCCACTGGCAGACACCAGAGGCCTGTGAACAGCACCCAGGATTAGCCTAATTTATGAAAGTGCAGCGATCTGCTCGTGTTGTGGCAATTGCAATCAATGAGGATGTGTGGAACGCTACTTGCTGAAGGCTATTTGTGGGCAGGATGGCTGCTGCAAACGACTCTGGTTGCAGTGCCAGCCATCGGCAAACAACTAAGATGCCCAGGGCACAGTAGGCCTTGAAGTTGTTTTTCTTCTTTGCTGCCAGATGTTACAAGGCACACATCACTTCTTGTAGGACAGAGCCATCTGGGCTCTCACATGTGAGATGCTATGTTTTGGAATCCAAACAGAAAGGGTTGTGTGCGAGGTGGGGAGCCAGCGATTCGGATGTCCTGACAAAGCAAATGCGGCAACACTGACAAAAGTCATATTCTTGCTGTGGTAGAATATTTCATTGACAGGCCACCTTTGTTAGGTGGAATGGTAATGTAGATAGGGTTAAAGATAGTCTGCACTGCCCAGCCCAGGTGACGCTGCTAACATGTGTGGGATTCGACTTGCAGAAATGTGGTTTGCCACATGTCTGCAACTCCTGGTGAAAGGCATGGAAGGATGTTCCAGTGATCGATGAGGATACAAACAGCCTGGCAGAGCTGGCACCTGCTTGTACTTCCTGAGTAGCACACATCCTCCTTGGCGGTTTGAATGGAGTTGGCCGCTGCCTACAGAGTTTGGTCCACAATGGGCTGCCATAGTGAACAGGAATCTCAAATCCCTGTTTACTGTAGCAGACTGGCAATTCCAGACTGGGAATTTTTGGGTACAGTTGCTGTTACGAGAGGGCGCTGCAACAGAGACAGCAGCCAGTAGCTGCAGCTTGGGGGCAGTGCTCTATTCAGTTTCAACTTGTGATTTCTAAACCTTACATTTCGACATTGCCTGGCTGGTGTGCTGAGTTACACACTGTTTGCAAAATCTGCATCGTATGGAAACTCTGTGAGGTCAACATAGATGGCATTGAGTGGACAGCTATATATTAGAATATAGAATATAGAATATAGACATTAGAATATAGAATGAATAGAGTGTAGAACACATGCATACACAGAGAGAACACAATACACTACAACGAATGGCATGTTTGACATGCCACCTGGTGACCTCACTCAGGTCACCAGGTGCCAAGTCAAACCCTGAGTACTTGATCCTTCTAAGCCAGAAACATGCCCCCAACACAGCAACAATTTGCATTGGCAGACTGTTGCGTCAGTTGAGAAATCGTTATGAGAATCCTTTCAAATCAGAAACATAACAACTACAATATGCAACAACGCCTCCAAGGCGCAAGGGCATTGTTTTGTCAAGTCTATGTGACAAATGTTATCAAAGGATTTGATAACAATATGTGATGACAGGCTGTTGCATCAGTAGAGAAACTGTTGCAAAGACACCCACCATCAATGGTGTTTTCGCTGGGTGTATGAAAATGAAACTGCAGTGGGGTGGCATCCACATAGTCCACATCATCGTCGTTTTTCTTGTCGTCGACTTGGACTATGCCATACACATGGCCACCTGTGCATGCATGCAGCAGCAATGACAATATAAATAAACAAACAGCGAAACAGCAAAGAACAGCACAAAGCAGCACAGAGCAGGCAATGACACTGTTAATCAATGAATAAACTGTAAACAAAAATGAGAAATGAGAAAAAAATAGAACACGCAATAATTAAAACATCAAAGATAACAAATACTGACGTTAAAATAGGAGAGAATATACAGTAAAGGACACCATGAAACACAAACTCACACAAAATGGGAAGAAAATGTCACTCAACCACAATCCTGACACAGCTGGCTTAACTATCTAACTAAATTTAATTCCAGTAAACAGTTTATGAATATGAGAGTTTGAAACTTGTGCATACCAGAATAGAACTGAAACATGCAAAACCCAATGGGTACCCAATCACTCTATGCATGAGACCTAGCTCAGGCCCTTTCGGCGCCCAGTGTACGTCAGATCTGTGCACCAATGTGTACCATACTGCTATTCAGATCTGTGTCCCAAACCAATATGCCAACCTATATACCAGCGAGGTGTGCCAACGTGTGCCAATCTATGCACTACCCTTGAAACTCTACACCTGGAAACGACTGAACAAACTCACCCACACAAGGCATCTTGATTTTGGTGGTTGGGTCGCTCAACACCGCCTCGAAATTCTGGCCTTTGTTTTCACCCTCGCCCTCTGCGGTGCCCCAGCGCCTGAAGCGGATGGTGGCAACGTCATCATCATTGAATCGCATGTTATCGTCGCCACATATCTGCACCACGTCTGTCGCACCAGTACCATGCCAGGAAGTCAACACATGGCGCACGCAGTCAAACGGTGAATTTGGTGTGAGTTTCAGTTGGTGTGCACTTGTTTGTGAATATCTTGTGAGTTTCTGCCAGCGCTGGTATGCTCTACACAATTGATAAGTCAGCGTTATGCAATCGCTGACTTGACACTTGCTTGTGAACATCGCATGAGTTTCTGCCAGTGCTGGTATGGTCTACGCAACTGATAAGCCAGTGTTATGCTGTCGCTGACTTGACAAGAGCAATAATGCATCAAAAGCTGTGAGGGTGGCCCTGTAAACACCTGTCAAGCTGGCAGCACATGACGATACCCTCAAATTTGAGGCCGACCTTTCAACAGGGTGTTTGCATCGTTTATTTTTAGAGTTGTTGCAGCCTCCAGATGTACAACCACTTTAAATGCGATTTGGACAAAGTGCTAGCAGCAGACATTTTTTACTTTCGATCTTTCACTAGTGATCTACGTGCACCTTCAACTTTTCATACTTTTGACTTTTTTCACTTTTCATTTTCTCGATCTTTTCATGTTTTCGAATTTCTTGTTGTGATGGACGAGGTGCCAGATGGAGGGAAACTTTTGGGCCAGGCCAGCGTTCAGTACAGGCACAGACCTCAATGGTTGATGCAAATTCAAGTCCAAAAAAACAGGGGGCCAAGAGCTTCAAATCCACGCCCGCATCCGCATAAACTTTATCAAAACAAGCTAGAGCTGAGAATGGCTTCACCATGCCCACAAATTGGGGGCAGCACCTGCACGAGCTCCGACAACCGTTGCAATTGTTTACGGAGCTTGTGCAGACCAACCAGTTGGTTTTCTGGCCACCCAGGCTACTGGAAGGAACTTGGGAAGGTCGGTTTTGCAACATCTTTCCACCAATGCAGCAACTCTACTTTCAAGATTTTCATAACGTACAAATTGGCGGACAATTCACAAAAGATTTCTATTCAGGATTCAAGTAAAACGTGTGATACCCATCAGATATTGAACCCTGTGTTCGGACTCCCAGCTTTTGGTCATCCAGGGCCCTTTCCTTTCAATTCACTTATCATGATCCAGTCGAACTTCCGCTGAGTACTTTACGAAGTGTAGATCACAACACAGTCATAACTAGGTCTTCAATATGACCATCTAGGTCCTACCCCCGCCTGACTAGGTCTCCAAAAGAGTTGCAATTAGGACATACTCTCGGTGTCGATGTTGATGGGGGATTGGGAGAAGCCACCGCAGTGCGGGAATGTGTCTGGCCAGTCCTCGCCACCATTGTCGTAGGTGAACTGGCTGCCAGTCTGCACAGTGGAACATGTAGGGTGTCAGTACTTACAAGCTGTGACTTGAAAAACAAAACTTCATAAAGTTCACGCAAGGAAACCCGCAGCATTTCAGCAACAGCACTTCCATCGCACATTCGCAGTGCTCTCCTGGCACGTTGATTGTCTGTCAGATACAACAAGAGAAAAGTATAACGAAACGAAATCAAAACAAAATATACATAACAAAGCACATTAAACCTGAGAAACCAAGACAAAATTACATTCAGCGAAACATGATACATGAAGCAAACTGAATGAAATGAAAAGCACACAAACGCTGCAATCTTTTCGTTGAATGTCGCAATCTCTGTGGCACTTATTGTTAAATATGATATGCCTTGCACACAAGAAGGCGGGCGTCCGTTCACTCCCCCAGCCACTTTGCTGGCTACCCCAGCCCCTCCAGCACTTCGATTCTGTTGGACGTAGCCCTCATACTTCAAGCCACTCTTGCAGTTACTAGGCAGGCTAAACCGTGGTACCAACAAAAGATTGGGCAATCGACATCATTTAAAACCAATGTCAATCGACGTTACCGTTGGCTTTTAAGCCCTTCCGCGTCAGAAAGCTTTACCGTTACGCAGTTTGCTCTACCTTTATTTTTCAGAGTATTTTTTTTATTATTTTTGCGTTGCTCCGCACAAATTTAAAAACAGCGCTATTCGTTTGACTGTTGCTCGGGGAAAAGGGCCATGCGTTAAAGTACTATGCGGAAGGGTGCAAATACCAACGGTGCTAGCCAAGAGGCCGACGCTGACACCGCATTCCCATTTGTGACTCACCATCACGAGCAAGGACCAAGGACGCGGCTGGGGAGGGGGCGCGGCCCTTGGCACTCCGACATCGACAATCCCAGGGGCGCGGCGCGAACCTCAGGCATCGCCGACAGCCTCGGAAATCCCCCGATCCGGTCTCGGACTCGCCGCCCCCCCCCCCCCGCCGCCGCCGACTTCGACGGGACGCGGATCCCGGCAATTTGCCGATCCCCCGATTTGACGCCCCCCCCTTCGGGAGTGTGTGCCAGATCGGCAAGCCCTGGGCTCCGCTTTCGGCGGCACGTTTCGTCCCGACCGCCGCCGATTCGGCGTCAACCCAATGGCCCATCCCGGAGCGCCAAGTGCCGATCCGGCCAATGTCCTGAATCCCGAACGCCACGTCCCTTCAAAACCCCCGCCGCCGCCGCTCAATGTCAATGTCAAAGTCAACGCGCCGCGCAGATGCATGCATGCGCGTGTCCAGCATACCCTCCCCCGCGGCCCCCTCCCCGGAACGGCTCGATACGAGATCCGGTCCGGCGCGCTCGGCGGCCCCAAACGGGCTCCGCGAACGGCAGCCATCAAGCATCCCGCAATGAACAGGCTTTCCGCGAGGGGATCAAAAGTTCGACGCCGCGGTCAACTCACCGCGGCGCCGATCGCCATTAACGCGAGCCACAGGCTGGCCGCTGCGCGGGCCCACATGGTTGGCCGGCTGCGGAGGATTTCGAAGGGGGAGGTCCAAAATTTTGGAGGGCGGGCGCCTCTGTGGCGGAATGGCGCTTGGGGGCCTCAAGCACGTGCGGGGCAGTTTGAGGGGACCTGGCGGTGAGCCGCCGGTCGAAGATTCGCGATTCGCCGGTTCATG